GCCAAGCATTAAAGGAATCTCCAGTATAACAAACCTGACAACTAATCACCACAAGTCTCTGCTTTTACAAGCCCGTGGCAGCAGCCCATTCCATTTGTAGACAGCCCTAATTGTGAGTCATCAATGATTTGATTCAATTCTGCAAACCTTTGCTGAGCGCCTCAAGTTTGTCATTTACAATATATTACTCTGTCCTTGCTTGCCTTTCTGATTTCCATGTCTCTATCTTTCCTCTTCTCTACTCTCTGCTCTCTTTCTCTGTCTCTCTGTCTCTCTCTGTCTCTCTCTTCCCCTGCCCCCCACTGATGCCTTAGGCCAGCTGGTGGCATTCAGTAGCAGCAGCAGGTAGCCAAATTGGCAACAGTAAGGGCAAAATCTGCTGAGCACTGTTAACAGAGGCAGTAAAGTTACCAGTATGCATACTAGGCAAAATTTGAAATGCCACATAAATGTTAGTTACTGTTATTATGCCTCTCATTCTCATGATATATTCAGTGGAGTTCAGAGAGAAATGATACTGGAACGAGCTAGTTTCCCACCATTGTTCTTTTAATGGTTAATGGTCAATCATGCAGATGGATAGAATGATCGCTTTACGTAAGTGAATAAAAGTATCAGGATGTCACCTTATCTTCTAGAACTCATTTAATAACAGTGTCATTATTAGCAAAAATAATATAATGCACAGCACAAGTTAATATTAATGATAATGATGATAATAATAATAATAATGTTTTATTATTTAATTGTTTATTTGACTTTAATGGGGCATAGTTGCTCACCAAAGCAGGGTCATCTTTCTTTAATCAAAATAAGCAAAATAATAGGTTGAGGCTGTTATTCAGATGATTTAGAGAGGGAAAAATTAGATTAATTATGAGATATTCATTTTCTTCACTCATCTGTTGATTGCCTACATTTGTTCTGTCTCTATCTTGCCTGAACTTAGCTTCAATTCTGAGAATCCTGACAAAGACCCAAGTGCTTGGGTGGAAGGTGCAGTCAGTGCAGTAATTTTTGCCTTTTGTAAGTTGGAGGGATGTGTGTGTGTGTGTGTGTGTGTGTGTGTGTGTGTGTGTGTGTGTGTGTGTGTTTGGTAACTAGCAAGAGCACCTGGAAGTGTTAGGTGTGAGCGGGAAAGCAGAAGTGATCATCTCATCCAACCAGGAGCTGGTGACGTCTTCTGGACGGCATGTCAACGACCTAGCCATTATGCCTCAATACTGTTAGTGTTGATTGTTAGTTACTGGGGCCTCAGTCTCACGTACCCCTCAGCAACCACTCCACACCACTAGTTACAGGGGAAAAAAAACCACAGAAACAAACAAACAAATGTGTAAGGAATCTCTTGTGGTGCTCCTCCTAAATATATTTTCTTCTGCTAGAGCTAAATCAAATCCCAGAGTCTGGTCCATCATGGTGCATTATTCCTATTTTCCAAAAGGTCTAGGTAGAAAAGGGATCTTATGACTCTAGTGTATGGTCCAGGAGAATCAAGGAGAAGCAGCAAATGAGTTAATTTTAAGAAGGTGTTAATCTTCGGTCACCATTGTTGTTCCCATCCAGAACGTTCTTCCTTGCTTCCACCTTCCCTTATTGCACGAGCAGCTCCGACAGGAGGTCTTGGCTGAGGCCTCCAGGTGTCCGGGCTCTCCTCCTCATGTAGCTCGGGCAGTTCGCTTCTATTGATTTCCCTGTGCACATGACATTTTCCCTTAGGAGAGGGCAGATTCCATTCTGCTTGGTCATTGTTTCCTCAGTACCACAGGCTGTGCTGGTACACATTAGGCAACCAAAAAATGTTTGTTGAATGGAGATGCATTGAAAAGGTATTACAGGGGCAGCCAGGTGGTGCCCTGGCTATAGCACGGGCCCTGAAGTCAGGAGGACCTGAGTTCAAATCCGACCTCAGACCAAACATTGACACTTACTAGCTGTGTGACCCTGGGCAAGTCACTTAACCCCAATTGCCTAAAAAGAAAAAAAAATTGTAAAAAAAAAAAGAAAGGTATTACAGATGGAGTAATCCCAATGCAGATGTTGGAGGAGTTGAGATATCTTGGAAGAATAAAAGAATGAGTCATTTTCTCTGGCCACCTTTACTTTCTGCCTGAGGGGAAAAGCAAGTGTCCCTTGACAGCAGCCTTCCTCTTCATCTGAATGACTTTCTACATTCAACCCTTATTTCTCATCAACCCTGGATTTCTAGTTATAAATGTCCTTGGATGTCCTACAGAGATCTCAATATAATTAGGTACTCAGATTAATCCATCCTTTCCTCCTCTCTATGAAGTAATAGAGTCATTCACATTTATTGAGTAGAGTAGTGCGATGGTTAGATCTGAGCTTTAGGCAAAACTCTTTCCAGATAAATGAAGGATGGCTTGGAGGGGGAAGGAGCTTGAGATGGGGAGATCAATTAAGAAGCTACTATAATAGTCCTGGTAAAGTGATAAGAACCTTAATTATGCTGGTTGCTGTCAAGAGTAGAAAGAACTATTCTGATTGGTTTCTATGAAGGTCCAGAGTGGGTAAAATACCAGGCTACTGTAATGATTGCTATCTTTTTAACATCAGCTAAACCTACAGAGATCTTTATGGATTAAGAGTTCCCACAAGGAACAGACAAAAGTGTCTATTGTTTTGTTAATAAACAGCAATGATTCTGATTTAATTAATGAATCCACATTGACTTAGCATACTCCTGTCTAATTAAATATAAATTAAATGCATAGTTGGTATGCTTAACTAAAAACATTCCCCAGAATTTATACAAAGCATGAATACAAAATATGTTCCTGGTAGCTGGAGGGAGAGAAACTCTAATCTGGAGATGTTTAGCACAAAACATGTTGCTATGTTGTTGATAATAACTGGAGTGCTAGACAATTAAATACAACTGTGAAATGCATCCATCCCCAATGCCAGAGATCACCCCAGGATTTGCATGGTATTGTAGTGACAACTGTGATGTTTCCTCCCCCCACTCCAAAATTACTGGAGGCAGATTTAGTGAGATGAATTTCACCTCCTGTATTCCCAGAACTGGCATTCCCAGAATTGTTTACATGTAGCTTAAAGCTTGGGACAGCTAGGTGGTGAAGTGGATAGAGCGTCAGGCCTGGAGTCAGGAAGACTTATTGTCCTGAGTTTAAATCTGGCCTCAGACACTTACTTGCTACGTGCCACTAGACAAGTCATTTAACCACGTTGGCCCCAGTTTCCTTATCTGTAAAATGAGCTGGAGAAGGAAATGGTAAAGCATTTTAGTATCCTTGACCAGAAAACTCCAAATGAGGTCACAAAGAGCCAGACACAATTGAAATATCCCAACGAGAGCAACAAAAGCTGGAAGCTTGTGCTTGTAGAAGGCAAGCTTAGCTGAGGATGCATCACAAACTATCTGCAAGGTAGACAGGGAAGAGGCACACAGTGGCAAAGACCAAATAGCAGATGTGTTCAGTGAGATTCTCCTTCTATTTCTATATCTAGGGCTAACTGTTGAATGAAGAGATCTTTCTCTTAATTATGTCCATAACAAGACACATGTAAAAGAGGCTTGTTTGACTTTCTCTGGAGTTTTCATTTTATACTAGAGAAATCTTACCAAAACCATCATTTGTGCTTGAAAGTGTGAGCCAAATAATGAATAGCGAACAAAGGGATCTCAAAGCCTAAGGGAGTAGATCAGAAATGTAGTTGTTCAGGGCTGTAACTCAAAATTGTGGTGCCTGGTGGAGGCCAGGTGGAGTTGGGCAGGCAGTCTTACTTCGGGTTCTCTGGACAGAAAGCCCCAGAGGGGAGACAAAGACCCTATAACACCTTAAGGCATACTAAAGAGGCCTTTATCTGGGCCATAGACAATGTGGCCCTGCGCTGCGAAGGCACTAACCTGGTGTTTGGGGAGGTTTTTACATCCCACCTCCCGGCCACTTTGGCCCTCACCTTTGTCAATTCAAAAGTGAATGCCTTGTGAGCCACCCAGTGTGAGGCGCAGGGTTCTGGCTGGTCCTCTGAAGAATTTTGTTCATTGCCCATCGAGAGAGCTAATGAGCCTTCTGACGTCCCATTCGCTAAAGGAAGCGACAGTGAGATGAACGGTCATGGGAGGGGAGGGGACAGGGACGAGACAAGAGAAAGTAAACACCTCTTTTAAACCAATGTGGAGAGTGACTATGCCTTTGGGGTGTGGGGCCTCAGGGTAGGGCTGTAATAATGGTGAGAGGGGCTAGAGTGGCAGTTTGGGTATGAGTGAGGTGGTAATCACTGTGGCGATGTTGTTCTGTGAATGTGGTGAGGGAGACCATGACATAGGACCAGCAAATGATCAAGGCGTATAAGAGAGCTTGGTTAACTGAAAAGGAAGAATGCTCTTCCCAACCCCCATGTTAGATGCTTTGGATCAAAGCCCAGGCCAAGTGCCTCACCTCCAGTTCCAGCTCTGTAGGTGCTATCTTCCCCTTTCCCCTATTTTATTTCCTCAGGCCACCCACCCAGCCCTTCCCTGCATTTTTTTTTTTGGCAATTTGCATTAAGCGACTTCCTCAGGGTCACACAGCTAGTAAGTGTCAAATGTTTTGTCTGAGGATGGATTTGAACACAGGTCCTCCTGACTTCAGGGCCGGTGCTCTATGTACTGCACCACCTAGCTGCCCCCCTGTTCTTTTTCAGATTCATATCAGGGCCTCTGCACCAGGGCTTTCCCTCATGTTATAGGGATCTCCAGATGGCAGGAAGTAGCACCTTCTCCTCAAAATTTGGATTCCCTAGCTCAGAAAATGGCAGTGTTAGCCCTTTATTCATGGAAAAAAAAACCATAGATAAAGCCTGCTGCCTATGAAACCCAGCTTTCCCAGGTACTTCCCTCCCCATGAACCCCATGATATAGGTAACATGATTCTAGTCCCTTTACAAAGAAGAAAAACAACGACTGAAGTTTGTCCTAATGGCTCAGTGATTTGTTCATGGTTTTATAGCAGAAGTATCAAAGCTGGAATCTAATGAAATTCAGACAGCCTGGCCTCAAGGCCTGTTCTCTTTCCACTCTGGCGGAATGCCTGCAATAAAATTGAGCCGTTTTTACTGATGATGAAACTGTCCAGGGGCAAGAGGGTGACTTGCGCAGGACAATGCGCCTTCCTAGGGACGTTTCACCCTGGGCTGCTTTATTGCTTTACTGGCGCTTGCTCCCCTGGGGGAGGGATCTCTCTGGTAAGTAAAATCGAGGAAGTTGGTGATTTGCGTCTCTATTGTGCTCCTCATCTGACGGGTCTGAAAAATAAAATGGTCGGGACCCCAGTGAGAAATGCTGCAATTTGGTTTTATTCTCCAGAATTGGAGAGGCAATGTCATGGGGTAGAAATAGTGATAATAATAACATAACGCTTATGTAGATCACATTCGATTGTCAGAACAATCCTGGAAGGTAGCTGCTATTTATTATCGCCATCTTATAGATGAGGAAACTGAGGTGTAGCAACTTCTTAAGTGTCACACAGCTAGTACGTTTTTGAGGCTGAATTTGAACTCAAGTCTTCCTGACTCCAGACCTGGTGTTCTATCTATTGTACCACCTAACTGCTTGAGGAGAAGGGACAAAACAACAACAGTTGATTTTCCCTGCTATACTTGAGTTCCATAAATATTGGGACCCTTTCATTCCTATCTTACACTCAAGTGTTGGTTAATGTGAATGCTTAATAACAATTTGAAACAAATATTTATTTTTGAAAAAAAAAAAGTATCCCCAGGGCCTTGCACTTCCTAAATGCTTCTTAATTGCTCAGGATCATCAATTACTGGTCTAGAGCCATAAGGAAACCCTGAGGCCATCTTGTCTAAGCCCCTCATTTACAAGAGGAGAAAACTAAGGCCTGGGAAAAGTCGGTGATTTGCTCAAGATCGTTAGCATTAGTGAGGCGTGCTGGATCATTCCTATCCCTCACCATGTGAATCAGTCCCAGTTGCTTGCTTGATTCCCCTGAGCATATAAACCTTTATTTTCCCATCTGTCAAGTGAGGGGTTGAAGAAGCAGTCCCTCAAATCCCTTCCAGCTCTGATTCTGCATACCCATTTTCTCTTTAAGGTTCATTTTAACAATATTGCAATAGTGCGCGTTGGGGGGAAAACAAAGTATCTTTAAAGACACATGTCAGGAGGATGTAGAGTTAAGACATCTGAGACTGCATTCCCTCACTGCCGGCCATGGAGAAATACTTGTATTACTTTCAATAATTGTAAAGAAAGTACTAAGTCTTACGGAATTCTCAAAGTTCAGTTCATTCCCACAAACTTTTACTAAGCACCTACTGTATGCAAGACATTTTGCTTGATGTTAGAGGTACAAAGTGTCTCTTCCCTCCAGAATGTGAATTTTATGGAGGGAGACACTATATATTGATATGTTGAACTTAAACTAGCTTAATAAATAAAATGTAATTTAAGGAATTGAGTGCATTTACTATTTGGACTATTCATAAAGGTTCCTGATAGGAGGAAACAAATGCATAGAACCTTGAAGGAAGTTAAAGATTCAAAGTATTGGAGGTAGAGAAAGAGCATGGTTTAAGCAGAGGGAAACCAGTCATTAAAAATCCATGGATGTGAGAGAACTTATGTTCATCTTGAGGAATGCCAATTATTCAGTTTGGCTGAAACAGAATGTGTGAGGTCAGTGTGTAGACAGACTATTGTAAAAAAAAAAAAGCCCAGAATGGTGGCAGCGAAACCAGCTGTGAAGGGCTGTTTATATGGAGGAAAGCAGAGTGGTGTAGTAGAAAGGGCTCTCTATTTCAAGTTAAAAGATATAGGTGCAAATCCTGCTTCTGACCTTAGGCAAATGACATCACCTTTTTGGGTCTCAACTTCTGCATCTCTAACATAAGAGGGTCGGACAGATGACCTCTGAGAGCCCTTCCACTTTTAGATCAATGAGACAATTGGGAGTCACTGAATGGGCTTGAGTAGGGCAGTATTATGGTCAGACATGTTTAAGAAGATGATTTTATATCTTTTATTTTCATTTTTATCCTCTATAGCCACTGGGTATTGACAATTAAGTCAAATATTAAAAAGTGCCCCCAATTCATTACCATTAGTAATCCTCAAAGTGATAAAAATATTGTAAGCTTTTAGTGTCACACATCAGCAAGGCTTGTCAAGTGATGGGATCATACAAGGTGGGCTGACTAAACAATGTGTCTTTGGACAGATGACATAAGAGAAGAAATATTGCTCATCTATCTTCCCAATTAAAACCAGGCTGTAAAGGTCAACAGTCTAACTGAATAAAGAATCAGGATCAGAATGGGGTAAAAAAAAAAAAAAACCTTTCCAGAGCGAGCTTCTCTCCAGGGCTATTGTAACATCTTGTGTCCTGTTCTTGCTCAAAGCGATCTGTGGGAAGAATTGAAGATGTAATAGGTGAGAAAATAACTGGAATGGGCAGCTTTCAGCATTCTTTTACCTGTTCTTTTTACTTTCCATTGCAAAAGTCATTTTCATAATAGGATGGAACATGAGTGCACATTAGTGAGTGGCCAGCATGAAGGGTAAAATGGGCACACTGGCAAAAGGAAAATACAAGAGTTTTGACAGCAATTCAGCAGTGTTATTCCCCTTAAAGTAGCAAGTTGTTATAAAAGTGGGTTAACAAGGTAGAGATCAAAAGGATGAGGAATGTTGCTGGTGTTTAGAGAAAATAGCATTGGGTCAGACCATAACAGACCTGGGTTCAAGTGCTGTATGCTTGGGTAACTTCCAGGGTGTCCTTGGTCAAATCACCTCTTAGTTCTGGCCCCTCATTGCCTCCCATAAAACAGCAGGTTTGAACCAGATGCTCTCCAAGGTGCTTACAAAGCTGACATTCTAAGAAACTTCAATGATGCAAAACAGGGATTAAGCAACAAATAATATTTTGCCAAGCATACGATTTCATAAAGGAGGTAGTGGTTTAGCATAAAGCACGTTGAATTTGACATCACAGGCCCTCAGCTTGAATCCCTTCACTGGCCTATTCTAATCTACATTTTCAACCTTCTTAAATATTGCTTCTTTCTTCCATGTTTTGGTCTAGCCAAAGCAGCCTCCTGTCTGCTCTTCCCACACAAAGAGAGGAGGTTCCTGTTTCCAGGCCTTTGCATGGGCTATCCCTCATACCTGGAATGCCTCTCTTCCACCCTCCAGCTCTTACAGTCCCTAGCTATTTGCAGATCTCATTTCAAGTCCCACTTCCCCTGTGAGGCTTTTCTTGCTAGCAGTGAGCACATTGTTAGTACATGTTTAAAAGATGGAGGTTCATCAACCTCCTTCAGCTGCTAATGCTCCCCTCAAAAAATTACCTTGTTTTATACATAATTAAGTAACATGTCATATGTGTATGTTTATATGTACATATGTGTATGCACATAAATACATAAGAAATGTTACTTTTCATGTATTTATATGGTCACGAGTCAGTAAATATTTATCAAGTGCTTACAATATGCACTGTGCTAATCTCAGGAAATATAAATGCACAACAAGACAGTCCCTGCCAGAAAGAAGCTTACAGTCTAATACGGGGAAACATGCTACAAGCACAGGAGTGGGATGGGAGTGGGATGGGTGTGCAGGTGTGGGTATCAGGAGAAATCAATCAGAGAAGTCTCAAAGCAGGCAGCCAGGTGAGAAATGAAATGTCTTCACTAGGCTCTCTTCTTAAATGGAGGTTAGTAGTTCATGACCCCACCCTCTGATGAGAGGAGCAGAGGGTAGTGATGGGGTACAGACCTGAGGCTGATGAGATCTTACAGGATCTTCATGATATATCAGTAATGAACTTGCTGGGGCATGGAGAAAAAATCAATCAGAGAAGTCCTGAGGTAGTATAGCCGGTGTAAGGTAGTTCATCTATCATAAGTATTGCAAGGTCCAAGTTGCGGTATACAATTGTGATGAGATACTATTGGGCTATAAAGAATGAAAAAGGATGTGGTTTCATAAAACAAACAAACAAACAAAACAGAAACAAAACAAAAAACACAACCTGAGAAGACTTATGTGAACTGGTGCAAAGTGAAGTACAAAGAACCAGAAGATCAATGTTCACTCACAGTAACAGCAATATTTTATAATGATTAACTGGGAAAGACTTAGTTACTCTGATCAACACAATGATCCAAGATAATGATGTTGGGTGAAATGCTTAGTCCCTCTAAGCCTCTGTTTCCTCATCTGTCAAATGAGGGTGTTGGGCAAGATGCCTACTAAGGATTTTTGGTTCCACAGGTTTCCAGGTGCAGATCAAAACTTCACCTTCACTTACGGGCTTAGTGAATTGTCTGACACATCTGAGAGGTAAAGTTAGTTGCCTAGGGTCATGTGATACATTTGTATCAGAAGCAGAATTTGAACTCAGCTTTTCCGGAATACATGGTTGGCTCTTCATTCTGGGGCAAGTTACCTTTCAAGTTAATATACCTAAAGGAAATTTTTACTTTAAAATTCTTTCACTCTTACAGTCTATAAATACGTGTTTCATTTCTTGTTTACTTTTTGGTTGCAACATGCTTAGAAACAGCTATGTCATACAATGGGTAGAGTGCTGAACTTGGAGCCAGGGAGACCTGAGATCAAATTGTACTTCAGGCACTTATTATCTGTGTGACCCTGGATAAGTTATTAATCCTCTCTCTCCCTCAGTTTCCTCAACTGTAAAATGTTGATTTAAAAAAAATAGCATATACCTTGCAGGATTGTTGGGAGAATAAGGTGAGATAACATTTGTAAATCACTTTGCCAACTTTAAAGTGCTATATAAATACTATTGTTATTATTATCTGTGATTTCACTGGTGTTGGGAACAAACTGATAAGTAAACTTCTCCTAATACATATTAGCTCCTGCTTTGGAACTGCTCTTCTTAGAGAACTTCCTCAGACAGGGAAAGGTTAGCTGCCTTCTCCTGGGACACACGACCACCATGAGCCAGAGGCAGGTCTTAGACTTCAGTCATCCTAACTCTAAGGCTGGCTTTCTATCCACTATACCACACTGCCTCTGATATTCAAAGGGAATAAAGTCCTAGGAATAACTCATGGAGGGCAATCTCCTAACTTAATCGTTGGGGTTTTTATTTGTTTGCTTGTTTGTTTGTTTTTAGGTCATTATTTCATCAGAGTAGAAGATGTGAATTCATTAGTTCCTATTTGGTTTGTCTGCCCCACCACACTGAGCTCCTGACTTAGCATAGTACCTGGCATATTTTAAGCCCTTGATAAGTATCTGTGGATTCATGAATTGTAGGCCGAGGTTCACTAAAATTCAGGGAATAGAACTAAATTGAGGGCCGAGGGTTCACGTGTGTCACTGAGGTGGAGGATGAGAGGCATAGGGACATGATAAGTAGCCTAGCCTATGTGAGTTTGAGAAGCTCAGTAAAGATTGAAGCAGTCACAAAATTATTGAAAAGCGCCTTTTGTTGTTTTTAATGTATTAGTATGTTATTTTTGTGAGATAGTGATATACTAAGTATACACATGTAGATCATATAAGCTCTGGGATTTTTTTAACTCCCTCACTCATACTGACAAGTTTTGCTAGCAGACTGGCTCCATATTCTTTCTTCAGAATTCTAGGGGTACCTAGAGCGGTTGGGTTTCTCAAGCCCCTATTATGATGTGCTCCCCAACATAGATCACTAGCAACATTTAGTATCTACCTTATATCAATGATTGAGCCAGTGACTGGAATCCTTATACCATTTAAGCAGTTAAGATTCTTAACTTTAACAAAGGGGTATTTAGGGAGAAAACATATGAAGAATAGATGTCTACAAATATCGCTATTTTGAAAGGGGAGGGTATACTTTCCTTTACACCACCACAGTCCCCGGGGAGAAGGGATTCACGCCCAAAGTGTTTGGTACAATGCATTCGCTCCACCAAATTCACTAACAAATGTGACATAGCATATAGAAGACATAGTGGCTTAAGTGTTCATTTAGGTGATTTAAGGAAGTAGAATGAAAACACTTCAGCTCCCATGGGGACGGACTCCATGGGAGGGGGCAACACAAATGGAGGCCGGTCCTCATTAGGAGTCTGTTCTTGGGTCACCATATAGACCTCTTCACTGTCTCCCCTAACCCAGTCTTTCCAAATCTGAATGCACAAATTTCTCAATTTTATCACAGTAACTGAAATGGCAGCAACTGAGATGGGGAGTAGGGAGGAGTGGTTTGGTACATATGGGCTATTTGTTCATCCAGTCTTCCATCTACATTTATTAAGGGGCAACTGTTCACAGAGCACCCTGCTAGGCAAGGGATGATAGAAAGTTCATAACAGACAGGGCCTCTACCTGCCTAGAGCTCACTGGATTCCTTAAGAAGGTAAGGATATGTTCACATATGCTTCCAATACTGAATAAGACTCATGGGATGTCAAACACAGCTCTTATGATCTAGGTTGATTGTAGGTCATGTACATTTGGTCTTACCTGCATATCCAATTCTTATGGCTCAATTAGCCAATCTGTCTCCTTCTCCCCAACTTACAGATTAGGACACCAAGGCAGAGTGATGAACTTCTTGCTTTCAATCAATCCCTTGGCAGGAAAATGGTCATTCTTCATTTTGTCCACTGAGCCTCTCCACTCCTGGTGTTTGACAAATGGTTATATATGGGTCATTATTATGGATTTTTTAAAAGTCTGGCTAGCAAGTAGGAATGAAACCCAGAATATCTCATGTCAGAATGGAATAAGCTGGTTGATGCCTTTGAAATTGGTAAGATCATGATAGATAGAAGTTTGTTAATAGCAAATCAAAAAAATATAAAAAGCCAGCAGGATCCCACTTTGGCAGATTCCTGAAGTAAATCAGGATATAGCACCATGATTAAATGAGCAAATTTTGAAAGCCCAGGGCCTACTGAGTGCCTTGGAAGATCTCCAAGGATCACCCAGGGCCCAGAAGAAGGTGGGGCTAGTCGGCAGCACTGCAGAGATTCTGTGGGCCTTTGGTGCAGAATTCATAAAGCATTTTGGAAATTTCTTGATGAGAGTGGCTGCGTAAATGCAGGGAGTTATTCTGATGTTAGCAGTAAATTGATGAGACAGATGAGCTACAGACTCAAAGAGGGGCATATTTTCAAAGCAAAGAAAAATCCTTAGCAATACAGGTAAGCAACCAAGTCTCAGGTTTTGCTTTAGATCTGAATACTGAATTGTTTTCCAAAGTCTTTGGAGAAGAATTGCTGAAGAATTTCTAACTTCAGAAATTTTATTCTGCTATTCAAATGTTAGTACTTCAAATGGAGAGAATGTAAGTTTTTTTTTTCTAAGCAAAAATCAAGGAGAAATTGCATGGGACCTGATATGAGAGCCTTACTTTTTTGTTATTCATTCCAGGGTCATCTTGTGAAGGAAACAAAAATTCAAAGGATGAGTGTATAGCTTACAAATTTGAGTAGTATTTCTGATATGCTTTAATTTTCACTCTGTACATTAAGTATGATTTATTTTTGTTCCAAAGTTTTGCTTTACCAAGCTCCAGTAAAGGCAAGTGTGAGGGGAATCTGCTGAATTAAGCATCTGTCACCCGGTGACAGACCATTATAAGCTATCAATGCATCACCACAAAGTCCCAGAAGATACACATTGTTTGCACTTTATAAATCAATATCTTGTCTCTTCTCTTGCAATATTTCAGGTTTATCCTCAGTGATTCATTGGTTCATTATAAAATCTGCTTTAATCGGGAGATTACTCAATCCTGTAGAATGAAGCCTCCCCCGCACTCTGTTTGCAGAAGCAGCATGTTGGTTGTTCATTTTAGGTACCAGCCCTGTGTCTGCCACACAGTTTGGGGAGGAAGGATTTCTTCAGGCACTCTCCTTTTCAATTATTTTAAATATGACTTCTCTTCTGACAGTCTTACTACAACTTTAATTACAACTTTAATCAACAAAAAGTCCTCAGAGCCGCCAAACAATAATGTAATCATTGTGAATTATGGAAACAACATAGTCAAGAAAAGTATCTACAAATGTAATAAAGGCATCTGGAATGGTGGCCCCAGATGGCAATGCCAACTACATTCCTCTGTAATCTTCTACTCCAGGGAAGGCATTTGAATTCATGTACTGTAGCATCTTTTCTATTGCTTTAGATTTTCTGAATAAGAAAAAAGATCTCAAAGCTTTTTATTAATAGGGAATATTTTTTCTGTGTGTGTGTGTGTGTGTGTGTGTGTGTGTGTGTGTGTCTGTGTGTGTTTAGAGACAAACAACCCTGAGGTATATGACATGCCCTTAGGAGGATGCTTTCAACATCGAGAAAACTCAGGATGTTCTAAGACTGTTAAGGGAAACTAAAAGTATCAGTAACAACCATAACAAAATTAAGATCTATTGGAAAGAGAGGAATACTAAGGAAGATTTACGAGGTATGGATTGTTTTTGTTAACTTGTGTCTAAAAAGCATTTGGGTTTTTCTTGGCAATGAGAGTAGACTGGTTTGCCTTTTTCTTCTCCCGCTCATTTCATAGATGAAGAAACTGAAGCAAAAAAGGTTAAGTAACTTTCCCAGGGTCACACAGCTACTAAATATCTGAAGCTGGATTTGAACTTGGGTCTGCCTGAATTCAGGCCCACCACTCTATCCACAACGTCACCTAGCTGCCCACGATATATGGATTGGGATGAGGATAATAAACAACAACAAGAAGGCATTGCTGCTCAAATCTTCTGTCCCTGTTCCCTCTGCTAAGAAGAATTACTCTTTGATCAGAAAGAATAGAATAACAGTCATGAAAAGGGAGTTGACACCTAAGTCAGGTGATTGTAAATGAATACCTTACTAGAAGTCTAGAAGGCATAAAGCAAAAGTGGATGAAAACTGACTGGGCATATAATGGGGCAGGGGGTACTTGTGTAAGGGGCAGCTGATCACTCTGATACCTCTTCTAAGTCTGATCTTGTGAGTTTTAATATTATGTTTCCACAGCATTTAAAGTTGATAGT